CCAGGAGGCCCCCCCCCCCGCCAGGTGGTGGGGACACCTGGCTGGGGGTCTCAGCTCAGCCACTTAAGTAGCCGTGTGAGCTTGTGAATTTATTTGTAAATCCGGTCACATTTGTGTTAAAATGAGAAGCATTCATTCACTTCATAGTAATTCTCCGTTTAAAAATTTAACCAGTTAGATCGCTCCAGCGGCTCACCCCATGTATACATGGGTTTCGGCTTTAATGTCGTTTATATTTTCTGCTGTTTCACTTCTCGCTGGCTGTTCATCCAGGAAGCCAGACCTTCCCTGGTAGTTCATCGCTCCGTAGTGGGATTAATGAATAACCCTGTTTNCCAGACCTTCCCTGGTAATTCATCGCTCCGTAGTGGGATTAATGAATAACCCTGTTTTTAACGTTAAGACTTGATCGTTTCAGATTCAGTTTTTGTTGGTGTGATAAATACTGGCCTCTGTTCAATTTAACAGGTTGGTCGGTGTTGGTTCCCGTTAAATTTAAGAACTATATTAAGAGAACTTTCAGGAAGATGATTTTTAAACTTTTGGGAAAAGGAAAGAGAACAGTGTTCTGTAAAGAACATGATCTTAATGTCGTGACCCCCCCTCTAATTATCTAGAAATATGAGTAATCCAGGGACTTCACCCTGGAATAGGTAGAAACTAGCCTGTCGTTTCTCGAAGGAGTTTGCAATTCCTTTGGAGAGATTCCTCCCCACCCCAGCCTCTTTCACCAAATCTATTTTGTTTTTATTTGTTTTTAAACTTTAAAAAAAATGTTTTAATTGATTTTTTTTTTTTTTTTTTTTAAAAAGGGAGCCTGGCCCTGGGCTGGACCTAATCAGGTAAGTCCTCTTAAAGATGTTTTTATTGACTTCAGAGAGGAAAGGAGAGAGAGAAATAGAAACATCAACGATGAGAGAGAATAATTGATTGGCCACCCCNAGGGAGAGAAAGAGAGAGAGAGAAACACTGATGAGAGAGAAACATCCATCGGCTGCCTCCTGCGCGCCCCTTACTGGGGATCGAGCCCGAAACCCAGGCATGTGCCCTGACCTGGAATTGAACTGGTGACCTCTTGGCTCATGGGTTGATGCTCAACCATTGAGCCACACGGGCTGGGCCCTAAATCTATTTTAAATTATACTCTTGGAAAAAAATTCAGCCAAAATCAGTGCCCAAAATATTTGCTGTGGTTTCGCGTTTATTGTCTGAGGCCCTTCCACTTGGGCCCACACACTGTCTCCATCCCCATGGACACGCCCGCCCAGTGCTGGGCCCACTGAATACAGTAACGTATGGGGTTTGGCCACCACGGCCTTAGGAGGAGAGAGAGACAGAAGAGAGTGTTATGGAAGGCTTAAGGACTTTTTTTTCTTATTTGGCGATACAAAGTGCTTCTTGTTATTAACGCGTGTGCAGTCGTCAGACGACTTCATCCAGAATGCACAGCAGTTCTGTGGTACAGCTCCGCCTGGTGCAAAATACCTCATTTTGTATAGAAATGGCAGAATTGCTTCATGTAGACAGGACAGAAGGAATCTGTTTCATTCACATATGAATAAAACGTCTTTGTTCTTGTGAAAGAAAAGTGCCTCTTATTGTTTGGAAGCTGTGTGAATTTTAAATTAAGCTGATGGCCACTATATGATATCTT